CTGCGGCGTTGATATTCTATTTGGCGTTAATTATTATTTAGGTATATTTCTAACTAACACGTCATAACTTTGACAACTCGGTCGGTTTAGTATTGTTATCGAATGAGCTTCCACGATGGGATAATATTTATCTATTTTGTCACATGAGGCAGTACATAATAAACGTTAACCTCACAAAGGTATTATCAAAGATGCCTCACACCCCAAAGCATCGATGATTCACATCAAATGATCTTGCGGTATCAGATCAAACTTAAATTTTATCGATTTGTTTTTGAATACAATTTTGAAATGAATTTTATTCAAAAAAAGATTGCTCTGCTGGTGTGAATAAATTGAAACTGAGAACACGATGGTAAAAGTTTGGTTTGCCACTAAGAACTTTCATCCATCAGACACCTTGGTGTAGACACCTCGTGATACAAAACGTATTTCCATATTCAACATGAAATCAAGTGATTGCACCCGATGATTTCCGCATTATCATCAAGCCATATTGCACCGCAAAAATACCCTAAATAGCTATGTCCATATTTCAGTTGTTGCCAAAATTTCTCAAAAGATGATTTAACAAATCTATTTAAATTGTTTGTGCAACACGTGACTCAGCTGATGTTTGTGACCGTAAAACCAACAGCACTACGATTCCAGCAGTTTATTAAACTTATGTCTGTTACGTGCACCATTGATTATATAAGTGTTCTGGTGCTTTTTAGCAAAAATTTATTGAATTAAAACGTCTCGAATTCATTTTTGATTCAAAAGTGTGTTAGATACGCAAACTGTTTAATTTTATACTTCAAATATTCTCCCTCAATAACAATCACAAGTTGATGATGTGATTATGAGTTGCATCATCATTAATATTCATACAGTTGTCATCATTTGCATTAAGCTAGTAAAATCATTTTTATGTTTTACATTAACTATTTCACTGAAAATATATTCGGTTAAAACTTATCATTTGTATTAAAATACTCGGTTGATGTTCATAGTCAATTATGATGAGTTTAGCAACATAGTTAAAAAATTCAACCACATTTTTTTTAAAGTGCAATATTTTGTTTGAACTCTGCAGTAAGTAGGCAGTGTTATTTTCAAATAAATCCTTTTATATGATCGAAGAAATTACAAATACCAATCTGTTTTTTGAAATCACAAAAAGGCAAAGAATATAGAGCTGCAGCACCGAACATCGTTTATATATAAAATACCGGTAATAGGCTACTAAGTACACCAAATAAGCGTGTTGCTGTTATTTTGCTGATGTCCTGTATTCGTTTGTGTCCATGCCGTCATCGGACAAAAATAATCGGTAATCCTGGCTTTATGCTCTGCCTCTGTGCTTTGATATCTTGTTAATTATTTGGTAGTCCATTATTAAACATAAATTATTTTGTGACAAAAGTGTGGCGATAATAAAGAAATTTTTACCACTTATAGAAAAATTGTCTGATAACAGTGTTATTAGTTTCGTGAATATAGCAAAGCACTAACACGGCAATTTCAAAAAAAAAATGAAATTTTGATCATGGAACATGTGGGATGTAGTTTATTATTCTCAAAAAATATGTATTTTTGGCAGGTGAAGACGTTTACAAAATTTTTCTTACTGCAATCGATGTACGGATTTCTATTTTCGTTTTAATATGAGTAAAACTTATTTACTTATATACGTTTTTCATATCATGAAATATTAGTAGTGAGGAAGTAGAACTGAACTTAAAATACTTAATTAAACTTAAATTAAAGAAATATTTTTCGCGACGTTCCCATCGCAGCCAGTTTACAGTTGCCAAACTTTTGAAGTGAGACGGGGAGGTCGTGTATATAAAGAAAGCATTAGATTGGCGTATGAATGCAGGTATACTGCTTATAGAACCACTGCGATTGAACTAGTATTAATACTTAATTAAAGCGTTTATTAACTCCCGCTAAAAATACGTTGTTTGTATCGGACTGTTTATACCTATTTTAAGTGGTGGTGCGATCGAATATCAGGTTTCCAGCTACAGGTACGGTACTGGTATGTTACCGTACCGCATATGATTTTCATGGAATTGATGATGAAATATTTTATTTTTTCCCTTCGTGTCCATATATTTGAGCATCACTCTCTTGTTTTAAAAGCATTCTCAATTTTTATAAGCTTTACAGGCAAAAAAATCAACAATTCCCCAAAATAAAAACCGTTGAATATTGAATAGCAAATCACAATATGTTATGTTTAGGTGTGTAAGCAGTGATGAGCTGAAAAATCGTAACAACCGGAACGCACCTAATTCGCAAAAATGTAATATATTCACAACACGACGCGGACGTTTACAGAACTGCAATGAACTGTGGAGAAATTATATGAAATGTGTTTGTGTAAAATTACAAGAGTTTTCATAGCAATTCAATACAAATATTGTTAATAGAAAGGTATAGAATGAATATTCATGGAGTTAATGGTCGGGCTAATATCTAATACACGTAACTACTGTACTAATTATTTGAGTGATGTGACGTAAAAAGACTTAATATGATGTAACAAAACATAAATTAATAACTAAGTATATACCAGAGAAAGTAGACTTTTTGTACCATAATTTTATTTCAACAAAAGGAACGCAAATGCAGTGAAATGGAACAACCGGAACGTCGTTCCGGTGCGTTCCGGCTACAGCTCATCACTGTGTGTAAGTACTGCTCCGCCTATCACACTTCAACAAATTCGATGTCAATAATTAACATACAATGTATATCAATAATTTTCTGAAACGTTTAAGTAAAGGAATCCTCTTTAATGTTCGCTAAATAATACTAAAATGTAAAGTATCTCTTTAAGTTGTTTATAATACTTCTCGTTATTACTGTCAGTTTGTTACCTAGTACAATAAGAATAATTTTCAACATTTAATATCTTCACTAAAAATCAAACACTCGTCGTCAATCTTATTTCTGTTACTAATATAAAGAAAAGTAAGGATTCCCAGTATTATCAAAGAAATAACATTCATTAATAATTTAAGCCACGGATGGGCAACCTGCGGCCCGCGGGCGCGCGGTTTCATCAAAGGTTGCACACCTCTGATTTAAAGCAATCGGCTATTGAATATTAACAATGGGTAATCTCAATTTCATAGTACGGCTCATGCGTTTTCACCTGTGTTCAGTTTTCTTCAATCTCAAGTTGTTTTATTTTTTATGTGTTATATAAATTTGTAACGGTGATATGAATAAAAAAAAAACTCTACATTATCATTTCCGCGACATTCCAGTATCATGACATTCCAGTATCATTACCAGGTTATTATATTTTGGGAAACGTACACTCATTGGTGGGCGGGCGCGTACTTTTACGTTTTTTAACTTTATTTTAAGTTATGCTCGCCTTCCAGGTATCTCTGTATTTTGTTTGTTCGTCTTCTTTTTGTGCTGTTTTGTTTTCATGTCAGAGTACCGAAATAAATGATTGATTGATTGATTGATTGATTGAAATGCTTGCAGTCTCATACCCAGGCTACTATATTTTGGAAAACATACACAAATAAATACATAAATGCTTGTGACGTTGCGTAGCTTTTTCCTAGAAAGATAGATAACTCCTCGCCTATGAGAAGTGTAAAAGAAAGCCTTGCTCACAACGATCATCACGCAGACTACTATTGTCGATGAAAAGTTTTCTCTGCTTAGACTATCAGAGCTAGAACAATACCAATTTTCTCGTGATCGATGCCTACATCGAGTAATTCGTAAGAAAATTTCAGGCAAGGATGGTCAAAATATAATATAATTTATTTAACTTCACGCAACGAAAATTAATGGAACCTAATATATGATTGCATATTTTACATATTGTATTTATTATAATGAATATTTTATTGTTTCTCATTTCAAATGCTGTGAAAACGAATCAATAAAAGCATTTCACCTTTCTATGTCGATTACTTTCTGTTACATAGTATCTGCCTCTATTTTAAATTGGGGATAAGGTACATATTATAGATCACAAAATTGAGTTTCGTTTGAAGGGAGCAATTTCTTTCGTGTCAAGTGCGCCGTGAGTGAGGTCCGAAAAATGCAATGATGTTGGTTTTAATATATTGATATTACATTGCTAACCGAAAGAACGTTTATATTGACTATTTATAAAACGTATTACCATTATAAAAAGTTGAACAAAATTTCCTTACGCATTGAGAAAATGTGAACGCAAGGAAAATTACGATGAAACGTTTTGGTCCACTTGGAAATGCACATTTCATCATACCAATAGATTTTTATATTCGTCATACTAGTTTCTTCAAACAAATTATTCGTTATTAATACGCTGTCTAATAATAACCGCGACTAAAAATATCGTCAGGAAGAATCAACCTTCTCTAAAATTATTGAGCAGCATTGATTGAAAATTCTAATTCAACACGATTTAAGCCTTAAAAAAATTAAACCCGCACTGATTACTGTTCAAAGTTCGACTGGTGTCGCTTGGAGCACAATGTCGTGTGAGCAGTTAAAACAATATTTAACACTAGCTATTCAGAGTTCAATAAATTATATTATTTTTTGACTATCATTTAATTTGATTTTTTTACGAATTACTCAATGTAGGTATTCAAGCACATAAAACTGGGGATAGTTTTTAGCTCCAGTAAATCGAGCAAAAGAAACTTTCAATGGCAATGGTAATCCGAGTGATGATCGTTGTGAGCAACGTTTTTATAGACGAGGAGTTAACTATCTTTCTAGGAAAAAGCTACGCAACGTCACAGGCATTTCCAAAAATATAGTCCCTGGTCATGATACTGAAATGTCGCGAAAACGATAATGAAGCAGGTTTTTATTTTATTTTTATTACGGTTACAAATTGATATAACACATAAAAAATAAAACAATTTGAGAATTAGGAAAAATATACATAAGTAAAAAAAAATAAATGAAAACGTCACTGAAAGACAAAATGTGAAGTTATCATAATTGGGTAAACTGCCAAATTAACAAAAGATTTGTATAGAAACGCCACCATATTCGACAATATTGTTGATATGTGCAATATATTCCTTTACGAAATTTAAACGCATTTCAATGTACTTAGTGCAAATAGAAATACCAAAATCTTGAGAACATGTCATTATACTATTCGACGCAGCACATATAGCACGCATTAGCTGAGTTTCGAAATTAAGATTACCCATTGTTAATATTCAATATCTAATATTATTTTTTTGATAACGTTGGGAATGCCGACTTTTATCTATTTCAGTAACAAAACTGATCATAAGAGTGACGATGAGAGTTGAATTGTTAGTGAAGATATTAAATATTGCACAATATTTTTTAATAATCTAGGTAACAAACTGGCAGTATTATCGATAACAGTAAAAATAAATTCAAAATAAATATTATATACAACTTGAAGACGTACTTTCTATTTTAGTATTATTTAACGAACGTCCCAGTATAAAGAGATCATTTGTCCAAAAGTTTCAGAAAATCAATGTTATTCATTCTTCGTCAATTATTGACATCGAACTTGTTGCAGTGTGATAGGCTGAGCAGTACTTACGCATCTGAACATAACATATTGTGGGTTGCTATTCAATATCCAATGGTTACTATTTTAGGGCATTGTCGGTTTTTGGCCCGTAAATCTTATGAAATTGAGCATTCTTTTAAAATAACATTTTAACAATACTATTTTAATCAGGAGTTGAACGGTTTAAGTATCAATACGAGTTCAATTAGTGGTTATTTAAAACAATATACCTGCATCCATGCGCCAATCTGACGCTTTCTTTATATATACGACCCCCCCGCCTCACTTCAAAAGTCTGGCAACTGTAAACTGGATGAGGCTGGAACGTCGCGGGAAGCAATTCTTCAGTTTCAGGATTTTGACAATTTGGAAGGCAAGTTGCATTCGAAAAAACCGATGGAAATATGTTAACGGCACATTCAATCCTAAAATAAATGAAATTGAATTGGGATTTGTATTTTGGTCCCAAATATAATAAGCTACATATTCTCAAGTTGAGGTAGATTTGTACTTACCATTCCATTCTATAAGGAGCAAAGCCATTGTATACATCATATCGATTTTCTGTAGCTTTGCATTGGTGTATTTTGGCAAAGTCAGAACTGTTAAATATGGAAAATTAGAATTAATGAAGTTTGAAACTGATATAATATTACACGTCTGATGACATGGATATAAATTAGTGTGAGCTGTTTTTTGTTCTGTTGCATTCAAATTTGTATTAAAACAAAATATTGCGGTAGATTCAAAACATTTCATTATTTTATCAGATAAATTTTGTTTTATTTCAGTTTCAGTTGCTGACTACCAATATTTTAATAATATAAAAATAATTGTAATATATAAGTCTCACTCATGTTCAAACGAAAATGAAAATCTGTACATCCATTGCAGTAAGATAAACTTCTGAATAATCGTCTTCACCTGCCAAAAAATTCATATTTTTTTAAGAATAATAAACTACATACTACATATTGTAGGATCAGAATTCTCTATTGTGATCGAGCTCTTTTGGGACAGAGATGCCATGAGCGTTGATAATATAATACCAAGAGGTAAAAAAAAAAAAAGGATTCTTACCGCCATTTCCTTCCTATGTTGAATTCGATTTGGTTTCTTGCTTGTACTGCAAACAGTCTCCACAATGACAAAAATTATAATTGAGAAGCAGCTCCATTTCCCGGCTATATACACCACAATTTGATGATGGGGAATATTTTATTGAAACGAAACAGGAAATACTGATATCGGGGCAACTTTTCATTTTCTTGATGTCGTAAGAAATTGCTTTAATACCACATTTATGTCACAAAATTATTTGTGTTTAGTGATGGACTACCTAAGTATCAACTTGATGGTAATGCACAAATACAGAGAATAAAGGCAAGATTACCGGTTATTTTTGTTCGATGACGGCATGGACAGAAACGAGTACGGAACATCAGCAATATCAGAGCAACACGATAGATGCCTATTTTGTGTTCAATAGCCGTAACTATTGATACGCATATTTTTTTTGGTGCTGCAACCCTATATTTTTACCTTTTCATGAATTTTTAAAACTGATTAGTAGTTGTTATTTATTTGAACATATTAAGGGTATTTTTTCCAGTTATGACACTTGCTACTTTCTGTAAAGTTTAACTAGAATATTGTACTTTAAAATATCCGCGGTAGGTTTTTCAATATTGTCATACCAACTGATTTATTTAATACAGTTGATTAATATTTATCGAATAAATTTTCAGAAAATAGTCAATGTCAAACAAAGAAATGACGTTACTAGCTGAATGCAAATGATGACAACTGTAAGAGAAAGAGTTCATGATGCAACTCATATCATAAAATTGTGGTTGTATTGATGGAGAATATTCGGAGTATAAAAACAAACATTTTGTGTAGCTTGCACACTTTCAAACCAAAAATAAATTTGGGACACGATTTAATTCAATTTCCGTAATAAAAAATCACCAAAACACTGATAATAATCAGTGATGCACGTAACGTACGTAGGTTTAACAAACTGCTAGAATCAATGTGCTGTTGGCCTATGGTCACAATTATTAGCTGAATACCGTGGCGCACAAACTCTGGTATCCAATAATATCAAATATATTCGTTAATTCATTATTTGGTAAATGTTGACAACTAGTGCTTATGTTGCAACACTATTTGGGTATATACATATAGTCGATTTATATATATATATATATATATCATTCATCACAATGATTACATCATAACATTTAACCAGATAAGTTTGCATTTTGGTTAGCTTATGTTCTGACTTGCTCTGCATTTATGAAAAGCCTTAAGAAAACTTCAATGACGCTTGGATAGGGCTCGATCAACGATTATGTGACATGGCCGATGACCCATTATTTTATTTTAGATGCGAATATATTCCTAAACATTTAGCAATTTACCAAATTAAATGATGTACCTCGGACGCAACTGAAATCTGGACATAGCTATTTAGGGTAATTTTGCGGTACAATTCTTGTAAAAAACCTTGTAATGTGAGCAAAAGTGACTTGTCTGAGCTAGGCCGGTAAAACAATTTTGAGTGACAAAATCAAAACTCAGTGTAAAAACTCAATATGATAACAATTGTCAAATAACACAACAGCTAATATAGTAATATTATATTATTACCTAATCTTTCGATTACATTTTTCGGTATGTTACTTTGAAACACTGACTTGTTGGCATGGCTTGATGGTAATGCGGAAATCATTGGGTACAATCATGCACATGATTTCACGATAAATAAAGAAATACGTTTTGTATCACGAGTCTACACCGAGGTGTCCGATGAATGAAAACTCTTAGTTGCGGACCAAACTGTTACCCTAATGTTCTCAGTTTGTTCATAGTGTTCTCAGTTTACTTCCATCAGAACAATATTCCTTCGACTATCAAAATCCCTTTCAAAATTTTATGAAAAAACGAACCGATTAAAAGAACGTTTGATCTGATCCACAAGATAATTTTATGTAATTTTATGCTTTGGTGTGAGTCAACGGCCGGCAACCAACTTGTTTAATGTTAAACAAGTTCATGGACGCCATCTTGTGCCATATTTGGGAAACGCGAAACAACAAAGTCTTATGGGAAATTTTCGTCGTGTTGTTGTACCGAATCGAATAAGTCCGCTGTTATAAGGGCTAGAATGGTCGGCCGTTAATTTCGACGAATAAATACAACTTTTCATCTGTGACGTCATAAGGAACGCCATTGTCAAATGATTAATTATGACGATTAGAATAGCAAATTTACTTCGGAAGCAACCCGGAAACGGTATACTTGTCTTCAAAGACAATTTAATGTACTATAAATGTAATTTGGCCAACATGAAATGATTTAATCATGTCTGCTAAGATTCTACTTCAAAACGCGACCTTTAAAATTTTTCTACCTAAAATATTAGTGAAAATAATAGGTATGTTTCAATAATTGTGTTGGAACTTCTCATGAGGCGCCGTGTTAAATTGCCGAGAACAATAGGCACAAGATGGCGTCCATTGTCTGAGCGTCGCCTCGCTTATTGGACACGAAGTGGACATAACGATCGTTTCAATATTATGTTGTTGTTGTTGTTGTTCTTTGACACGTTTTTAAAAAGTCGCTTTTCTCTTCGAATACTGGACCAATTGTTTTTAAATTTTCAGTGGTTAAAGATTAATTTTTTCGCTAGAAGGCTATTACTTTTATTTATTTCAAAATTTTGCGTGAATTCTATGAAATTTGATATTTCGTCTAAAATTTTGCTGTATTATTTTTTATCCATGGGAACACGGATTTTAGTCAGTGTCATGACTGGCTGTACGTTTTGATTCTGCAAAATTCTTGCTACTGGAAATTCAGAACTTTTTTGAGGGTACCGGTAGCGTCAAAGGTACCGGTAAGGACTGATTCGCTCTGGTCTAACGTGTCCATATATTTGTGCGTAGCTCTCTTGTATTATATATACCCTTTGGTATGAGTCGCCTTCGGTAAAGCCTTTGTGAGGCTAACGTTTATTGTGTAATGTCTCTTTTGACAAAATGTATATTCATTCTTCCATCACAATTGCTTATTCGATTATACAATACTAAACCGACCACGACCTGTCCAAAGTTATTAAGTGTAAGTTTGAAATATAAATTTTAATCAACGCCAAATGGAATATCAGCGCCTCAGGATCGTTTGGTTCATGCGGTAAAAAAAAGCAATATTTTGGAGGAAGTCGGTATAAACGTAGTTCACACGAAACAATGATATTTAGACTGTAAAAACAAAATTCCTATATTATATGTAATCAGAATAAATTCCGTGTATGGGAGTTGAGAATAATTTATTGTTCTTTTAAATTAATTAGGTACAACTTAAAAACATGATATTTATGCAACCAGCAATGACGTCACAGCATGGCGTGAATAAATTAGTAAATTACACTCTTTACGGTCACTTTTTTATGGCGATAAACAATTAGTACACAACAAAAAATATGAGAAATATATTGGTATAAATCTTTTTTTTCGTTTTATGGGAATATTGAGACAACTACGACATCTCTCAAAAGGCAATAAATAATAAATTCGGAAACAAATCAACCACATTAAGACGCGACAACCATAAGTAACTGGATGGCAATGTTCATTATATTAAAATTTCATTAAATAAATAAATATAAGACAAAACCATCTCATGATATCTTTAACATAGATACCCATCACGGATCTCATATTATGCCAAGATTGATGTGTTTCTGGATATCAAAGCCAAAGTTCCAAGTACAAGAGAAATTGTTTCGTCTTATTTCATATTCACGAACCCCAAGTCCTCACTAGCTCTTTTGATGTTACTCCTCTCAATGGGCGGTAAATCTGCGATCTTAACATTTTGTTTAATTCCGAATGATCAAACTGTATATAGCGAATTATTAAAAAGACTGAATTTTGTCCGAGTAGTTGAACAATCTGCAATAATTCAAACATTTTCTTTTTTATAGTTCATTGCTTGCTTGTATTAAAAATCTATGTAGAGATTATCAAACTTCCAAGTTTTATCAGTGGTTGTCAGCAAAATATATGCCGATTTTATGATATTGTCTTGTCATCTGCAGGTCTGTAATATTTTGTGTTACATTAATTCTAAATATGAGCTTTTTGAGCTAGATTTTCGACAGTTACCATATTGGATATAAACATGGACCGCAAATAAATCAGTCTCATAGTCCTAACTGTTTTGGTATTTGGAGATAATATGTAAGATTAAAGTGGACGATTATTTTTATTATTAAATCTTCGTGGATTAATCAGTATGGTATACGTATTATCGTTAATGAATTAATCCAATAGGCAAACAAATTCAAACTTTACCTTGTTTACGAAAGCACAGGAATAACGAATCTTCAATGAAGATTAAACATGTTGAATGTATTTTAGATCAAATGTAAAATTGTTGACTTCATGATGAGCAAACGTTTCATAAAAATCAAACGTGAATTGGTATGCTTATCACTTCAAGATAATTTACTAGTGGACCTAATGTCTATATGACGTCACGATCAAATGTAATGATTTTTGTCACGTTAACACTCACCTTGGCTTACCGTTTTAAAATTTTGATAAAATGTCATAACCGCGTTTGAACATAAAGAGTATTTTTAATAATCATCCGTAACGCATTTCATAAAATAAAGTGATGATTCATGCATATTTTGATAAATAGCAAAAATCGCAATCTACATCGAACATCTGAAGCGTTTTGAATTGCCTTTGCTAACTAAAATTTGGGATTATATTCACAGTGTAAACCAGGGGACACCAACCCGTTGCCCGCGGGCACCAAGTCGCCCGCAAGGACCATATGAGTCACCCGCAGCTGTGTTTTGAAATAACTCAAATAACGGCGCTGATCAGTAAGCTACATCTACTAATTTTATTCTTGCTATTCTTGTTTAAACCATATATATATGAGAAATGAAAATCACAATATATTAATTATTGTAACGGTCAGCCTTTTCTATATGGGACATCGGTAAATGTCATTTCAATTATGACATCACACACACTAGGTCAGCTGGAGCCATGCGTGTTGTTCTTTTTTAACCTTTTTTCAATGGAACTTGGACATGTCAAGCATTGTTGAGCAACGTTCAGCCTTGATGCGGGAAAGGTAGAGCTTAAAATTGTAACACTGCTAAATGACCTTCACCTCAAAGCCAATCAGGGCTCCAGTTGACACAGAAAGTGCCGTGGTGTATGAACAGCAGCTTCGATAGTCGCAAGCTTGTTTGGTTCAACCTATCTTTGTGAATCAGCCTTTTATTATAATTTCATCAAGAACAAACACTGAACATGCCTCACTGATGAACATCTGCAAGACTCACTCAGAGTTTGGGGGTCAAGTTGCAAACCAGAGTACAACACAAAAGTGGAAAACATGCAATAT